GGACAGTTGAGCACCATCATCCTGGAAGTGCTCTGTGGGCAAACGTCCCAGCTGAACATCACTTCATAAATCTGCAGGGGCAAATCATTGGATTTCTTTTACCCGGTGTAACCCTTCCTCTCTGTGATGTGGCTCAACTCACTGTCTCATCTTCAAAAAAACACATCTAGAGGTGGGCAATAGGAATTTTGGTATTAATCCCATAATAAATACAGGGCTAGTGTCGCCAATTCCGATACTTGTCATGCTCATAGTTAGGTTATTTTGTCTTTTTAAGGCCCACCCCTACTAAACCCCTCTGCAATTGCAAGACTTCATGGTTTGTTGCCTAAATGATCACATTTTTGCATAAACTTCTGCAAGTCTTTGTAAATCAAAGCTCACTTCAAAACCTTTTGCAGTTGTTTTGCTCTTGATTCAAAGAGTTGAAGGCAGCAGAAAGAGATGGCAAGAACTTTGTTTTGGAAAGCACAGCTTTAACGTTAAGTAGCCCAACTGTTATGTCTTCGCTGTCCCTCTTATTTTTCCTGTATGAACGTGGTACAAGGTTAAATGTCTTTTTTTTTTGTCCTAAAGTAGACAAAGCACTGTGCAAGTTATTGTAATTATTTATAAAATTGCCGTGACCCGGATTCGAACCGGGGTTGCTGCGGCCACAACGCAGAGTACTAACCACTATACGATCACAGCTGCCTAAGAAGTGACACATTATTTAGCACTTATCTGCACAAACTGAAAACTGTGGCATTTATTAATTGTCATTAAATGTAAATATAGSTATTGAGGGTAAAATAATTATAAATCGTAGATAGATGCCTTATTTATCGTTTCTTTAGACACKGTTTCATCTGTTTGAGTCATTGCAAAGATCGAGAAGAAGACAGAGGGCATTTGTGTGAACATCAATAGTTTCAAATTGGAATAGTGTGTTTGCGAGCCTTTGGCTGGAACAATACCTTCAATGAAAGAAAAAAAAGACAGAAGATGTGTCATCTTTTAAAATATATGACCAAGAGAAAGAGATGAACTTTTCCCCCAACACATTCCCTGTCCACTTACTTGTCATAAATAATTAAAAGGTTTCAACCAGAGAGGCACAGGTGATGTAGCTGTTCTCCCCCCTCAGGAAAGCAGAGTTACATACATTAGCTAAATTACTGCATTTCTTGTCCCCTGTAAGCCAGAGAACAGACTGTTTAATCCTCAGGCAGGGTTCTTCTAAATCTTCCCCAGTCCCAGTTTGGAGTTAAAAGTGACAGTGGATTTTTTTTTTTGCATGTTCTGAAATTTTCAGTAACAGAAACATTAGGGGCGCCAAGTGTGAAATGAAATGTTAAAAAATTCCACTAACATGTTTTTCATTATTATTTAGCTCACTGTTTTTATATTTAGCATTTTTTTTTACTAAATGCTCAATTTAAATGTTAAAAATATATTTAAACGTTAAATCTGAATGTAAAAGTTAAACCTTAAAATGCTGAAATTCACATTTAGGTATCTTGGAATGGAACGCAGCCGTTGCTGTTAGTTCTCGGCTCATGTTATGATGTCATCATTCTGAGACAATCTGCTGGTGCTCCAGTGCAGCTAAAGCAGGCATGGGCAGTCCTGGTCCTGGAGGGCCGCAGCCCTGCATGTTTTACTTGTTTCTCTGCTCCAACACACCTGATATGATTGAATAGATGATCATCAGGCTTCTGCAGTATGGAGGACCAAAACTGACATAATTAGAAATAAAAGCAGAATTATATGAACCACTAAATAAATACACTTAAAAGGCATCAATTAGAGAACTTTATCTCCTGTTTTATATTTTAATTGCCTTTCCTATTTATTTTTCCAGGTTAGTTTCAATAAATTAGTCTATATATTTATCACATAATTAAAAATTTACTGTTTTTAACATATATTTTAATTGTTTTTCCTTTATTTGTACATGCATTTGTGTCTCTTGAATGTTTAAATTTAATTATGTTTACATTTTTTCCAATAAGTCTTTTTATTTCAATGTGTTGCATGCTTGTGCTGCCCCAGTTTAGCTTAAAGTTTAAAGTTTAGTTTAAAACAAAGGCAAGGAGGATTACCTGTGCCTTTATTAAAAAATATGTAATTTAAGCATTTAAGAGACACAAATGCATGTTGAAAAAAGGAAAAACTATATAAAAATATATATTTAAAAAGTGGAAAATTTAAATTGTGTGTTAAAAATATACAATTTATTGGAACTAAGCTGGAAAAATAAATATGAAGGTCAATTAAATTATAAAACTTGAGGTAAAGTTCCTTTTTTATTTATTTGGTGCATTTTAAACGTATTTACTTATTTAGTGGTTCATTTACATGTTTCTGCCTTTAATTCTAATTATGTCAGTTTTGGTCC